AATTAATTCTAATCGGGGTCGAGTTTTCGAACAGGGTTCTCGTTGTTCCCATTATATGGTTTTTATCCGTTGTTTTGTTTGGCCTCCTTTTTATTTGAAGGTTATTCTTGTTATTTCGACTTGCTTCTTTTTCTACCGCGCAACAGAAGAAGCCCGGTGAAAAATAGAAGTACAAAAATTTGGCCTATACAGTGACGTGAGAGTCAGCCGATGTATAATTTAGTGTTCTCATGCTCCCAGATGAACCTATCACCAATTCACCTGCCCCAGGTAGACGGCTTGGTTGGGCTAGGTTGGAGCATATCCAAGGTTTGACGTTCAGACTCCGCAAGCAGTCACTTGTCGCCATACCACACTGTTGTATAAGATGTTGTTGAAGGATCAAAAACCAATGCCTACCTTGAACAGGGTACGGTTAATTTTTCCTAATTCATACACAATCATCCGCTCTATCTTGGGAAAATGTTTCGCTATTGAGCCCATCTGAAAGAACTACATCCTATTAAATGAATTGATCACTTCGCGAACGAGCACTCATGGTTTCTGGCTTTTTCTGGATTCAACTGGTACCAGCTCGTTTTTACAGAGATGTCGTACTAAGGAATATGGTTGTGCTATATGCTGAATGCGATATGCTCATTGCCTTCACCGGGTATGTGACAAGAGAATCATAACTCGCAGCGTCGTTGGGCGTCGCGTGCAACGGTGGTTCCAGGTCGTAGATGGCAACAACAGGCAATTCAGAACCGAAAATAGTCATGAATGTCTACGATGACGGGGTCTACATGAAGTCCGGTGCTCCAGTCGACAGGTTAACACGAGTTAAAAAACGCCGCGCCCATCGCGCGCGGCGGAGCGGCAAATTACGATTCTCTTGCCCGTCTCCCGGCTTCACCATAACGCGGTGCGTTGGGAGCCGGCAGATTTTTCCCCCCGCAATGATAGAGTTGTACTCCGGTAATTCCCGATTTCAGGGTATCGCTCTTCTCTTTCGCCCACCACGTCAATGGTAAGAACCAGCACTTCGCAACCGACGCCTTGAGCTACGCAAGGGTACCAGGAGGTGGGAGCTTTTCTGGGTATCCAGTCTTGTTCGCTGCGGAAGATGGGCGTGTCAAGGGCGGTGGGCTTGACGCAGCGCCATCCTGTTTTTTTTTGTCTTTTTGGAGCAGCAAGGCTGCATCACATCGCTCGTATCAATTGTTTTCCACCAAGTGCTGTCGCTTACCCGCTTCGGCAAGTGATGGAGGATGGGCTCGCGGCGCGTCAACGCAGGTGCCCTGACACGTCCCCATCATCCGCGGCAAAAAAGACTGTAAGCTAGGCAGATCCAGAACTGTGGAACAGCACTTCTTTCCCTAGTCGAAAGTGCGCGGAACTTGAGCTTGATACATACGGGGCGGATACGGACGTGTGGCAC